ATATATGTAGGAAGCTTTAGTTATCTCCAAGGAGCAGGGCTTGGGGAGAAAGACACAGACCCAAGAACCTCTTTGCCCTCAGAATGTTCATCACTAGTGGGGAGGACATAATCCAAGAGCACTATGGTGGGTTGGAAGACAAGAGCTAAAAGCCGGAAACAGGCAGGGTATATCAGAAATTCCAGAAGGAGGGGGCCAGAGGCCACTGGCAGAATCCATAATTTATACTTATAAGTATATGGAAAAGGGGGCTTGGGGGCTGAGCCCTCAAGTCTGAACTAGTGGAAACCAACAATTCTGAACATTAGAAAAGATGTGATCGCTTCATCCTCCTCAATGAAGAAGAAAGGGCAATCCCCAGAGGACACATATCCCGGAGCGAGGCAACAGAGCCCATCACGGTTAAACGCAACCACGTGGATGGATGGCAAAGCATCGTGCAGGGCCAAAGAAGTCAGATGCCAAAGAGTACCTACTGTACATTAACATAAAGTTCTAGAACACAGAGAACTAATCTATGGGGATAGAAATCAGACTCTAGGCTGTCTATAGGGTAGTGGTGTGCAGCGGCCTGTCCTGCCTCACTAGCACCAGTTGCTACCATTCTTTCCAAATCAGCCTGTCTTTCTCTCTCTCCCCCTCCCTCCCTCTCTCTCTCTCTTTTTCATCTCTCTGCCAATCCATCTCTCATTTCAAAACCCATTGTTAGGGGCGCCTGGGTGGCTCAGTGGGTTGAAGCCTCTGCCTTCGGTTCAGGTCATGATCCCGGGGTCCTGGGATCGAGCCCCTCATCGGGCTCTCTGCTAAGCAGGGAGCCTGCTCCCCCACCCACCCACCCCTGCCTGCCTCTCTGCCTACTTGTGATCTCTGTCTGTCAAATAAATAAAATTTAAAAAAAAACATTGTTAAACATTCACTAGCACACCACCGCTGATAGGAGTGAGGGTAATTTACTGAAAAGGGTACGGAGGACACTTTCTGGGGTGATGGATGGGCTCTGCATCTTGTTTGGTACATGGATGTGCTTACATGGGCATATACAATTGTCAAAGCTCAAGGAATGGAATAGCCAAGAACTGTGGGTTTATTAATGATTTTTTTAAAAGATTTTATTTATTTATTTGACAGACAGAGATCACAAGTAGGCAGAGAGGCAGGCAGAGAGAGAGGAGGAAGCAGCCTCCCTGCTGAGCAGAGAACCCGATGCGGGGCTCGATCCCAGGACCCTGAGATCATGACCTGAGCCTAAGGCAGAAGCTTAACCCACTGAGCCCACCCAGGTGCCCCCTGTGGGTTTATTATATGGATGTTACAGCTCCATAAAAAGACTATATGTACGTGGAGCCTAAAATAAAATACAGTGATGGAGAGATCACTTTGCGGAACAGAGGGAAGGTAGAAAAACACGCAGAGCTGGGGAAGGTAGTGGCATTATTTGAAGGCAGATAAGCCTTCTCCCTAACTTTCCGTGAGTGGGTGGGAGCAGTGGGAGGAAAAACCAAAAAGGCTCATCTTCTAGAGATGGAGAAGCACGCATGCATACCAGTTTAATCCGGGAGAACCGTAGTAACATGGCACTTTGGATTATTGTTACATTTTGCAATTATGCATATATTTATCATGTATCTACTTTTTAAGCATTGCATTTCTAGTGCCCAGCACAGTATCTGTCACATAAAGAGCTAGGCAACCCAACCTTCAAAAGAATGACTGAGGGGCACCTGGGTGGCTCAGTGGGTTAAAGCCTCTGCCTTCGGCTCAGGTCATGATCCCAGGGTTCTAGGATTGGGCCCCGCATCGGGCTCCCTGCTCAGCAGGGAGCCTGCTTCCCTCTCTCTCTCTGCCTGCCTCTCTCTCTGCCTACTTGTGATCTCTGTCTGTCAAATAAATAAAATCTTTTTTAAAAACTTCCTTAAAAAAAGATTAAAAAAAAAAAAGAATGACTGAAAGGCAGCTGGACAGGAAGGGGACAGGACTGAGTCAGGGTGACGGAGGGACCTGGGCTGGCCCCTGGCAGAGGGCATCGATAAAACCTTTCCCTCTTTGTTTCTTTGTGTGTGGTTCCCAAAGGTGCTCCGCGCCATGCTATATGCTGGTGCTCGGGGATGGGACAAAAAGAAGCGGAGTGTGGTTGGTGAGATTTTTGCGAAGTCAACTTTTTTCCCATCTCCATGACTGTTCTTTATTCTGTGCCATACGCTTCCTCCTTTTATTATTATTTTTTTTAATTGGTGTTAAAGTGTCCTTTCTCGTAAGATGGCAAAGCTGCCGTGGGAACCAGTATGATGATTCTTCAAAAAATTAGCCATAGAATTAGAATACGACCCAGCGATTCCACTTCTGAGTGGAGAGATACCCCAAAGAATTAAAAGCAGGGGGCGCCTGGATGGCTCAGTGGGTTAAGCCTCTGCCTTCAGCTCAACTCAGGTCATGATCTCAGGGTCCTAGGATCGAGTCCCACATCAGGCTCCCTCCCTGCTCACTAAGGAAGCCTGCTTCTCACTCTGCCTGCTACGCCCCGTTTGTGTTCTCTCTCTCTCTCTCTGAAGTACATAAAATCTTTAAATAATAATAAAAGTAATAATGATAATAAAAGTGTGATAGAGAAAAATTAATAATGCAAATTACACTTTAAAATGCGTCACGTGGGGCACCTGGGTGGCTCAGTGGGTTAAAGCCTCTGCCTTCGGCTCAGGTCATGATCTCAGGGTCCCGGGATCGAGCCCCGCATCGGGCTCTCTGCTCCGCGGGGAGCCTGCTTCCTCCTCTCTCTCTGCCTGCCTCTCTGCCTACTTGTGATTTCTCTCTGTCGAATAAATAAAATCTTAAAAAAAAAAAAATGCGTCACGTCTAGGATTGCCTTGCCAGCTCATGGGAAGAGCCTACAACTCTTGATCTCAGGGTTGTAAGTTCGAGCCGCATCTTGGGTGTAGAGATTACATAAAAATAAAATCTTAGAGGCGCCTGGGTGGCTCAGTGGCTTAAAGCCTCTGCCTTCAGCTCAGGTCATGACCTCAGGGTCCTGGGACAGAGTCGATCAAGTTGCATCAGGCTCTCTGCTCAGCGGGGAGCCTGCTTCCCTCTCTCTCTGCCTGCCTCTCTGCCTACTTGTGATCTCTGTCTGACAAATAAATAAATAAAATCTTTTTTAAAAAATTATTTTAAAAAAATTTTTAAATAAAATAAAATAAAAAATAAAAGCAGGTTTCAAACAGTTTTTTTTTTTTAAAGATTTTATTTATTTGACAGAGAGAGATCACAAGTGGACAGAGAGGCAAGCAGAGAGAGAGAGAGAGAGGAGGAAACAGGCTCCCTGCGGAGCAGAGAGCCCGATGTGGGACTCGATCCCAGGACCCTGAGATCATGACCTGAGCTGAAAGCAGCGGCTTAACCCACTGAGCCACCCAGGTGCCCCTCAAACAGATATTTTGCACCGTGTTCATAGCAACAATGAGTAATGTCCAGAAGATAAAAAAACTCAAACACCCACCAATGGATGACAGGCTAAACAAAATGGGGTCCATCCACACAATGAAATATTATTCGGCCTTAAAAAGGAAGTAAATTCTGACACCTGCTAAAACGTGTAGGAAGCTTGAGGACACGATGCTTGGGGAAATCAGGCAGACCCAAAAGAACAAATACTGTTAAAACACACACACACACACACACACACACACACACACACACACAAACAAGGGGTGCGTGGACGGCTCAGTGGGTTAAGCCTCTGCCTTCGGCTCATGTCATGATCTCAGGGTCCTGGGATCAAGCCCCTAATCGGGCTCTCTGCTCAGCAGGGGGACCTGCTTCCTCTTCTCTCGCTGCCTGCCTCTCTGCCTACTTGTGATCTCTGTCTGTCAAATAAATAAATGAAATCTTAAAAAAAAACAAAAACAAAACAAAATTCAACTAGGTAAATGTACGTTCGAATTGGCTTTATTTAATGATTAATAAAAATGAGCAGCATCCCATCTCTGGAACGCTGAGAAGCTGTACAAATGGAAAGGTTTTTATAGGCAGAAGCAAGCAGCATAAAGAAGTTTGTAGCAAAGAGTGGATTGTTTCAGGCAGGATTCTCCTTCCTTCGGGGGAAGACAGGGGTCTGTCAGGCAGATGGCCTCGATAGGGAGGACCTAGGAATTCCAGATTGGCTAGTTACAGGTCCCACTCTTGGGAAAGCTCAAAACCACAGTTAGGTTCGGTCTCAAACTTGCTTTGCTGACCTGGGGCTTGACATGAGTCAATCCATTTGGGGCCTGTTCTTGTGTAACAATATGACTCCAATTATCTGAGGTCCCCAGAGGAGTCCTGTCCACCCAGGCAGAGAGGAGCCCTGGTGGGGCCGGGGCTGGGGCAAGGGCTGGGGAGTCCGTGCTTGGCGGGGACAGAGCCTCCATTTGGGGAGATGGAAGTTCCGGAGACGGAGGGTGGGGTGGTCGCAGGACGAGTGAGCGTGCTTCATGCCACCGAGCTGTGCACTCTGAACATTAAGTGGTAAATTTTAGGCCATATGTATTTAGCACGACTTAAAAATAAAGTTTGGAAATGAGCTTTCTTTCCAGGGACTGTGTGTCCATATACGACAAAAAGACTGCAATGGACTCTGAGTGGTCTCCCACACGTTTTGGGGATCTTAGTGGCTCATGCAGCCCCAGTCGGCACCCACAGGGTTCACGGGGGTCTGGCCTCGAAACCGCGCACCTGCCCACTCTCATCAGCTCGCAAGGCGCCTCCCGCCGGCTCCGCCTCCTTTGCGCCTCCGCCCAGAGCTTCAGGCGCATGCGCAAACCAGCTGAAGGAAGCGAACAAGGGTGCACGCTCCTGGCGTCGTCTCGGTAGATCTCCGCCCCTCTCTCCCGCCCCACCACTGGAAGGCGGCCTCCGGCTGGTGCGCACGCGCCGCGGTGAGGGGCGGGGCCTCGCGACTCCCGGCGCTGGCTCTCGCGAGAGGCCGGCGCGCGATTTCGTTGCTCACCCTCCCTACCCTCGGCTTCCCGGGCTCGGGCTGCAGCGTCAGCTTCGGAAGGGCCTCCTCTGCGGCGGCGGCGGCGGCTTCTCGGCCTCAGCCCCGGTGCCCGTCGGCGCGCCTCGCCCCGGGTCCGCAGCGACGCCCTCACTCGCCGCCCCGGCGCCCGCCTAGGCCGCGGCCGCAGCCCCGGGCTCGCGTCGGCGCCGCCCGCTCCCGGCCCGCCCCCTATGGGCCCCGGTTAGAGGTGCCGCCGCCGCCGCCGGCCCGCGGAGCCCCGATGCTGGCCCGGAGGAAGCCGGTGCTGCCGGCGCTCACTATCAACCCCGCCATCGCCGAGGGCCCGTCCCCCACCAGCGAGGGCGCCTCCGAGTGAGTGGGCCGGGCTTGGCCGGGGTGAGGAAGGGGCGGGGGTCCCTGAGTAGTGAGGTGGGTAGGAGGGGGGACCTGAGTGGAAAACGTGGGTCGGGCGTTCCCTGAGTGGAGAGGATGGGGTGCGGGCCCTGAGTAGTGAGGTCGGGGCAGCGGGTCCCTTGGCGAAGAGGATGGGGTGCCGCGCTCTGGGTAGTGAAGTTGAGGGGAAGGGGGTCCTGGTTAGTAAGGCTGGGGCAGGGGGTCACTGAGTGGAGAGGACGGGATGCGGGACCCTGAGGATTGAGTCAGGAGTGGGGGTCCCTGTCGTGTGTTCTGGGGAGAGGGTCTCTGGGAGAAGAGGACGGGGTGGGAGTTCTGGAGGAGGGAAATGGAGTTGAGGGAGGGCTCCTGCCGGGAGGTGGGGGGAGGAGTCTCAGTGGAGAATGAAGCCAGGGGGAGGTCCCTGAGGAAGAAGATGGGGTATGGGGCCCCAGTAGTGAAACTGGGCGGGGCTTGCCTACCAAAGAGTGGGGGGAAGGGTCCCTGGAGGGGAAGGGCGGTAGAGGGCTAGGATGAGCCAGGACCCCCTAGGGAGAAGACTAGTTGAGGGTCTCTAAGGGCACAGGGGCAGGCGAGGCCCCTGAGCGGTGAGGTCAGCTGCAGGATCCTGGCAGGGAGGAGGACAAGGATGGAGCCGCAGGCAGGCACGGAAGCAGAGAGGAGGGCTTTGGGGGAAGGGACAGAAAGGAGCATCTGGGACAGTGGGGTCTTGAGACGGGGAATCCTACTGTGGGAGGGACACACACTTGCGAGGTCAAGTGAGGGTGATCCCTTGGCCATAGACGTCCCTGGGATCTCCCCACTCCTGTCCCTCACAGTAAAGAGGAGCAGGATGGTTGCAGAGGCCCCGGGCTGGGGTCTGTTTGCTGTGGGTGTGGCATGACCCCCTGAGAACCAGGCGCGATGGGGGAGCATCGTGTGTGGCCCCACTCAGGGGACCCGGCCCCTGTGCCCCGGGCAAGAGGGTTTGATGCCTGGGTGTGCGACTTGACCTCTTTCTCTGTCTCTGAGCAGGCAGCTCGACATGGGGACGGGGTCCTTATTTTCAAAAGCCCGCTGCTTACTCTTCTCGCAGGAGAGCGCCTTCTCCGTTCTCTCTCCGCTTTGTTTTACTCGCTGCTGATTTCCACCCCTTCCAGAACTGCCCCCTGCAGAGGAAGCCAGCCATTGGAATTCCAGGGTTTCTTTGTAGCCACAGCTGGGTTGCTATTGCATGGAAAGTGGATGGACCAGCTGACTACCAGGACGCATGTTCAGATCGCAGGGTCCTGCGAAGACGACTTTGCAGAGTCTGGCCTCAAAAGCCACCTCTTCAGCCCTTTAGGAAAGAAGCCTGTCGTGTACATTGATTCCTTTGCCTTCCCTCCTCTCTCCCTTCCTCGTCCAGGTCTCTGTTACCCAGGCTTTCAGGGAGCGCCTAGTAGGCCCTCGGTCCCGGCTCAACACCGTGCCGTGATGAGCAGGGCTTAGCAGTGAGGATGGTCACGGGTTTGGTTCCAGGCATTGCCACTTCCCTGCATTGCGACCCACAGGCAGGTTACTTAACCTCTCTGAGCCTGTTCCCTCCTATGTGGGCTGGGACTACAAGATACCCACCTCCCAGGAAAATCTTGAGAGTGAAACAGGGTGGTGTTTGTAAGCCCTGATGTGTGTTCAGGAAGTAGCACCTAGTCCCCTGCCTTCTAGCAGCTTCTCGATGTAGCAGCTCCAGTGACTTCCCTCATCTCATTCCCAGCTGTGCCCCTTTGCTCAGCCTCCAAGTTCTAGCCCAGTTAGGGTCAAATCTGAGGTTTGGAAGTATCCTGAGAGAGCCCCAGTCCCCCCCTTTATTCCCTGCTTGAATCCCCCCGGCAAGTCTCCCCCAAGTTGGGGGTCAGCCTCTTAAAAACCCTCAGAAATCGGTGGCCGGGCATCACCCAGGGACCTTTAGAGACTCTCTGAGTTGCCCACCTTCTCTGGTCCAGTCAGCCCCAGGCCACCGCCGGGATTTGACATGTCCCAGGTCCGAATTCAGGGGAGCTGGATGTGTAATATGCCTTCCAGATTCCAGAGGCTTTATATGAAGAAAAAGGAAAAATAAGTTTTCATTAATTTGTTTATACTGATTTCATTTTGAAATTTGTATTTTTTTAAGTATTTTATTTATTTATTTGATAGAGACAGAGATCACAAGTAGGCAGAGAGGCAGGCAGAGAGAGGGAAGAAGCAGGTTCCCCGCCCAGCAGAGAGCCCCATGCGGGGCTCGATCCCAGGACCCTGGGATCATGACCTGAGCCGAAGGCAGAGGCTTTAACCCACTGAGCCACGCAGGAGCCCCGTGAAATTTGTATTTTTGATGGGTTAAATTGAATATGGTAAAACTAATTTCACCTGATAGATATTTTTTAACGTAGCCAGAAAAATTTTAATTGTACATGTGTAAAAAAAAAAAAATTTGCCCACGTGACTTTTATTCTATTTCTTTGGGACAGCACTGGGTTAGTCCTTTGGTGCGTTGAGCTAATGTCTGCCCGCCTGTTACAGGGACCTGCTGTTGACTCCAGGTTTGGGTCAAAGTCAAGGCATTCGTGAGAATAGCTTTCAGTCAAAATTCCTTGGGAAATTCCTCATATCACCTAATAAAGGGGTGTATATGGTGGGGTGTTGGTTTTTTCCCTTTCCTTTTTTTTTCTTTTTTTAAAGATTTATTTATTTATTTGAGAGAGTACCAGGGGAGGGAGAGAACCCCAAGCAGACGCCACACTGAGCATGGAGCCCGATGTGGGGCTCCATCCCACGACCCGAGATCATGACCTGAGCTGAGATCAAGAGCTAGACACTTAACCGTTTGTTAAACAGGAACGTTTGTGCACATAAATGCTTCGTGTTTACAGTAACGTCCTAAGAGCCTGCTGGCTGGGCAGCCGCGCCCTGGAAATGTCTGCACTGTTTGCTGTCTGCCCCTCTTCGTTTCCCCTCAAGTGCCCCTGTGTCATTCGTGTACTTTAAAGGCAGGCATCTTGCAACTTCTGTCTTCTGCCCCGCAGTTCTTGTTCTTGGCCCTGACCCCGCTCAGAACGAGTTTCCTCCTCTGTGTCCGCCTGAGCCTTCCCTCACCTGACCCGTGGCTTGCCCCCAGCCCATCCCCTCCCTGTTCCTGCGTCTCCTTCCCACGTGGTCTAGAGTCCTCGTGTCAGGAACGGGAGCTCCTGGGTCTGAGACTAGCACCAGTGAGCCAGAGCCGGTCCTGAGGGAGGGGCTGGTGTCTGATCCATCCCAGTGTCCTTGCGGCCACACACCTGGGGCCTGGCACTCCGCGGCCTCACCCTGAGCTCAGCCGGGTCCAGTCCTCTTTCCGCAGCCTGCACTGTCTTCACTGGCCCTTGCCCTTTGGGTCTTTGCAGAGCAAACTTGGTGGACCTCCAGAAGAAGCTGGCAGAGCTAGAACTGGATGAGCAGCAGAAGAAGCGACTAGAAGCCTTCCTCACCCAGAAGGCCAAGGTCGGGGAGCTCAAGGATGATGACTTTGAACGGATCTCGGAGCTGGGAGCTGGGAACGGCGGGGTGGTCACCAAGGTCCAGCACAGACCGTCCGGACTCATCATGGCGAGAAAGGTGAGGGGTGGTCGGTGAGGGCGGGCCCTCCATCCCTGTGCCCTGCGGCGGTGTGTGGTGGGGCAGCCCCTGCCCACCACCACCATCCCCCACCCCCCGAAATAAGAGGGAGGTTTGAAAGGTGCAGGTCTCTGCTTTTTTTCTTTTCCTTTCTTTTTTTTTTTTTTTTTTAAGATTTCTATTTATTTATTTCACAGAGGTCACAAGTAAGGTAGAGAGGGAGAGAGAGAGGAGGAAGCAGGCTCCGTGCCGAGCAGAGAGCCCGATGCAGGGCTCGATCCCAGAACCCTGGGATCATGACCTGAGCCAAAGGCAGAGGCTTTAACCCACTGAGCCACCCAGGCGCCCCAGGCCTCTGCTTTCTGATTGGCCCCTGGGCTTGGCACGCTCAGCGCTCCCCCGTCCTCAGGGAGAGCCGGCCTCTGGTTAGGATACGGCAGTGCCCCTCTGCCTTGAGCATCTCTTCCCTTCCGTCCCTGACTTCTGCCTTCCAGAACTTAAACTCCCGTGCTCAGAAACGTCCGGATCGTTTTAGACTGGCGCACTCACCCTCCCAGCTGAGCGGTCTAGAGTCCTTCCTGCAAGCTTGATGGGTGAAGAAGAGGAGGATGTGACCTTTGGGGATAGTGGCTCACATAACCAGGGGACTTTGTGTGACAAATTATTCTGCTCCTACGGGCACATTCTCTCAGGCAGGGAAAATCACCTCTTCTGGAATCCCCTCCCCCATAGGTCCTACTTCGCATGCTCAGAAACCCGGGCACCCCATGCCTCCGTGGTGCCCGCTGTCCTGCCTTTCCCGGGAGCGCTGCGCTGGCTGGCTGTCCCCTGGCCTGTTTCTCCTGCCCCTGGAGCACGCCAGCCCTCCAAGACCTGGCTCTGCCCCCTCCACGCAGGCGGCCTTTGCTGAGCTGGAGACCCGAGAAATCTCGGGTCTGCTGTCACCCCGTGAGCAGGGATAGAAAGGCAGATGTGAGATTCCATGGCTGGTGGGGAGGGGGGACCCTGCGAACAGCATGCTGGCCCAGGTCGGCATTGGGGACCTCGGAGAGCCCCCAGGCCAGCTGAGCGGTCACCAGGGGCACCAACGGGTGCTGCGTATGGCTTTGTGAGGACATAAGGTCACCAGATCTCCAGAAACAGCCTGGGGCGGGGCTTCTCCCCGTGCAGCACTGTTTGCTGCCAGCATCCCTGTGGCCCCTTGGATCGGCAGAGGGTTTTCCTAACCAGTATGACCTGCTGGGAGAGAGCAGGGAGAGCAGTCATGTAAGCCCCGAGTGAACTGGTCTTGAGGTTTACAATCACATGCGATAGAAAGTGTGTTCTTGACCCACGCGTTGTGTTCTGACTCCTGCATCCTTCTGCGAGCCCGGGGGGCGAGACCTCTGCGTTGCTCGGGCCCCGGGAGCTGTAGAATGAATTAGGGTGTGTGTTGGGCACGTGCTCTCCTGGGCTTCCCAGAACTCGGGCAGAGGAGCCTGTTTGGGCATCGTGTTTGTGTGGGCCCTGAGCGCTTGCTTGCCTCTGATGGGGGTCTGTGGCCCCTGCAAGGCCGCGTCATGGTCCTGGCTGCCATCCTTCGAGTGGTTGCTGCGCGGCAGAGCTGGCGTCCTGTTCTGGTCTCAGGGGAGCAAAAGCTCCATTTTACACACAAGGAAACGGGCCAAGGTGGGTCGGCGTCTGAGTTGGGTGTGAGCCCTCTCGGGCCTGCCCTTTCCCGTTGGGCCTGACCTGGAGGAAGCTGTCACTGTTTTGCCTCCAGAATGTCTTCCCTTCTCTTTCTTGTGTGCACCCCCATTCCGCCGTAGAAGTCGCCGAAACTCCTGGATGGGCTTGGTGTTGGGTTTGAATTGCTTGCGCCGTCCCTGTGTCACCAGCTCCCGGAGCATGCCTGACCCCAGGTGGTGGCGTGGAGAGAGCGTGGGTTTGGGTGATCTGGGAGCCTGGCCCTGACACACACTTGACCGCTCGGCAGCCGCGTGCCCCTGAAACAGGATCGAGCCTCTAGAACCTGCAGTGGGGGCGGTTCTCCCATCCCCACGTTGCTGTGGAAATGTGTGCTCAGAAGCGTGCCCCTTCCCATGCCCGCTCTTTGTCCATATGCTCTCAGTGTGGCTCCTTGGGGACCTGGAAGGCCCACCCTGCAGGCCCGGGTGGAAGTGGCCCATGAGCCCCTGCGTCCTCCCTGCATCTTTCCCAGAAGCATCTTGACTTCCGGTGGCTGTCCTTCCCATGCCGGGCCCCAACTCCAGGCTCCTGTGACCTCTGGGTTTCCATCCAGTGCCGCCCACCTTTGTCTACCCCTTCCTCTGGTGCAAAGCCTAGAGTTCTTGCTCCCCAGCTCAGTTGCTCATCTGTGGCTCCTTTGAAGTTCCTGGCGGAGAGCTGCAGTGTCCGTGGCGGCCAGCCCGGTCAGCTGTGTGCACGGAGCCCCCGAGACGTGGTCGGTCCGGCCGGGGTGTGCTGTCGTGCAGAGAACCATGGCGCCAGGTTTCAGAGGCTCAGTATGGGACCATTGCATGAATATTTTTTACATGGATTGCAAGTTGAAACAGTCTTTTTTTTTTTTTTTTTTTTTTTTGGGACACAGGCAGAGAGGAAGGGAAGCAGGCTCCCCACTGAGCAGAGAGCTCGATGAAGGGCTTGATCTCTGGACCCTGGGATCATGACCTGAACTGAAGGCAGAGGCTTAACCCACTGAGCCACCCAGGAACCCTTGAAACAGTCATTTTTTGATATGCTGCATTGAGTTAAAATACGTGGAAAGAGTCACTTCTGTTTCTTTGCACTCTGGTGATGCGGCAGCCGGAGGGTCTACAACTGAACGCGAGGCCTGGTTGCATTTCTGTGGCTGATGTCGGCCTCTGTCACCCTGTGGGGCGCATCCTTCAGCCTCAAGTCTTTCCGGGATTTTGAGAGCAGACCTCCTGCCTTCCGCGTAGACGGCAACGCTTCATTTTCAGACCAGCATCTCGTGTGTGCCTGTTGGCATCACGTCACAGGTGCAGTCCCCTCAGAGGAGAGAGCGTCCCCAGGTCCCACTGGGGGTGGCCGTGGCGGGGAGCACAGGGCCTGGAACCCGTGGCCAGAGCTTGCCTTCACAAGTGGAGGCATGAAGCTTTGCCGGGGAGTGGCGAGAGGTACCAGGCACCGTCCCACCAAGACCTTCTGCTGTTCTCAAGGTGGCCGGAGTCATCGGGGAGCAGGTGTTGCTCCCCACACATACTGTGTACCTCCCTGAGCTTGGCGCACACCCCTTCCTGCCTTGGTGGCCTCAGTCAGCATTTTGCCCCCCACTGGCCACCACATCTGTCCGGCCAACTCCCACTTGTCCTTCCAGGCGCGGGTCCCCTTTGAGCAAGTCTTTGCCGCTCCTTCTCCCTGTCACAGGGCTCCGATGAAATGTGGGACCTCTGGCGATAGGTTCAGATGCCCCTGACAGGCAGGTGGAAATAACGTTCTGTTGTCCTATTGCAATGGTCGGAGCAGCTGGGATTCTAAGCGGCCCGGACGCGGAGCCCCGGCTTCGACGCTTTCCTGTCGGGCTGTCGGCGTTGATGCAGCTGTGACTGCCATCTCTCCAGTCCTCGGTTTCTTCCCGTGTGAACGTCGGGATGTCGTGGGGGAGCCCCCCTTCCGCTGACTTGAACTCGGGTGGAAGGGGAGCCGGGAGCCTCCTCCAGGTGGTTCCCTGCCTGAGCGTCGTGCGCTTGGGGCCCATCCCCGGGGTAGCGCATGGGGTGCCCTGCTCCTGTCCTGGCGGAGCGGCATGCCTGTGTGTGGGTGTGGGCGCGCGCGTATCTCTTCACCTGGCGGGGAACACTTGGGCGGCTGCCAGACTCTGGCCGTTGTGAGTCCTGCTGTGTGGACACAGCTGGATGAGTTTGTGTGTGGACGTGTGGTTTTGTTCTCTAGGTAAGTGCCTCGGCGCGGATTGCACAGTGTCGAAAGCTGCCGAGAGCACAGTAAGGGTCGGGGGCCAAAGCCGCCGCCTCCTGGGCCCCCTAGAAGCCTGGTTGTGAGCCCCCTTCGCTTCCCCCCGCAGCTGATCCACCTGGAGATCAAGCCAGCCATCCGGAACCAGATCATCCGCGAGCTGCAGGTGCTACACGAGTGTAACTCTCCGTACATCGTGGGCTTCTACGGGGCCTTCTACAGCGACGGCGAGATCAGCATCTGCATGGAGCACATGGTGAGCGTGCCCACTGCCAGCGGTCCCTGGAGGCACTCCGTGCCGCGCGGCCGTGTGCACCTAGGTCCCCGGTTCTGTGTGCACGAGACGCCCCCCTTGCAGCCTGGCCTCTGCCCGCACACCTAGTGGAAGCCTTTCCCCACTGGCACGCAGGCATCCAGCGTTGCTTTCCCCACAGTCCGTGTCCCGGCCACGGCGAAAGCCTGTCAGGTAGTTCATCGAGCACCATCGGGGTGGCGGACGCAGGTTGTTTCCCCACTGTCGGGAGCAGCAGCACAAGGAATGTCCTTGGGCCAGAGGTGGGATGAGGTCCCAGAGGCGGAGCTGCTGGGCCCAGGGCCCCGGAGCAGGGGGCAGCAGTCTGTGCGCTCTGTTCAGGGTGAGACCCGGCTTTGCCACCCAGCTCTGGTCTGTGGAATCAGAGCTCTGGGGTGGAACCCGGGAACTGATCTTGTTTCAAACCGCCCTGCTGGTTCTGATGAGCCCCCTTGTTAAGAAACGCTGGTCTTGAACCTCAGAAATGGGTGGGATCGGGGATAACGAAAGCAGAAGTGGTCAACGCTGAGGGCCCTGGGGGGAGCCTGAGCCGTCCGGTACGGGGCTGCGTGCTGTTGGGCCGTCGGGGCTCCCGCCCGTTGGGGCCCTTGCGGAACCAGGATGCGGTGACCTTGGGCCCGGGGGCTTTGGCTACGCCTTGCAGGCACATCGCCCTCTTCCCTGATGGTGTTGTAAGGGGGCAGGAAGTGAGTTTGAGCAAGCAGCCGGGAGGAGTGCGTTGTGAGCAGCCGCGTGGTGTGACCCTGCCCTGGAGAAGGTACTTCCCGCCCTCCCACTCTGCCCCTACCTGGCCCCCAGGCTCCTGGCCCGGCAGCGACCCAGCGCAGAGGGAGAGGGAGGTCAAACCCGCCACCCACCTGGCGGTCACTGCAGACAGGCACGTAGCACAAGAAAGGATGGGGCGTCCCTTTGTGGTCCAAGGGGCGCCCTTTGCCTCCTCTCCCTGTTTTCCCTGAACGCAGTGGGAATTCAGAGGTGCCTCTTGCCCTCTTAGAGGAGGGGGAGCGGTTCAGCCTGGCCTGCCTTCTGCTTCAGTTGTCGGTGAACCTAAGCAGAGGTTTCCTGCGTGAGGCATCTGCCCCCAGCAGCACGAGGAGGAGCTGCTGTGACACGGGGCGGGGGAGGTGCTGGCAGTCCCAGGGGTGTGTCGTGGCCGTCCGCTGCTTATTCTTGGTTGGATTTTCTCGGTGAGCTTTCCTGCCAGGTGTAGGAGGAGGGCAGCGGCTCCCTCTGGCAAAGACGCCCTTAGGTGAGGTGTGCACCGGCACAGCGCGCCGAGCTCCGATGCCCCAGTTCGCAGGTTAGCCATGAGCCTTTGGGAGGGGGCGCTGCCGGCAAGGAAGGGGTGAGAACAGACGGATTCTAAAATACCAGGTCATAACGTACCGGAAGGGGGAGGCTGTCCCACTGGCCTTCGCGGTGTTTCCACGTCACGTGACCCATGCACAAAACCGCCCCGTGTGCCCAGGGCCTTTCTGAGTGTGCGGGACATTCCTGCCACGCTCACTCATGTGCCACATTGCGGGACAGCTTGGGGTCGGCTTGTACTCACTGCCCACCTCCCAAAGGCGTGATTTGGGACCAGGTTCTCCCCACCTCCACCTGAGGGGTGGCAGTGCCTGCCCGTGGGGCCGGGGTGGGGGTGGAGGGATCCAGTCTTCCCGCGGAGTCTGGAGCAAGGAGCAGAGGGTGAGACGTCGTCTCTATGTAGGTTTGGGTGTGAATCGGTTCCTGTTCCCGACGGGTCGATTTCCAGCCCCGGCTTGCGAGCAGAGACCCCGAGTGGGGGATGAGCAGCCCAGGCTCAGCACAGGAGGGGGGACTCTCCAGGCGGCACCTGCCGGCTTCTGGGGTTGTCACCGACAACTCGGGGTGAACCCTGCAGACCGGGGGTGTGGGGGGCGGCTTACTGCCTGTCCAGCGGTACCTGTTGGTATTTGGGCGTCTGGTCGCGTCTGAAGCACGTGCTCTCTTGTTCTGTGACAGTGAAAATCACACACCCGCTGCCCGGGGAGGGGTAAGGACCCGTACCGGGCCACTTGCCAGCAGGGCGGGGAGATGGTGCTTATGTGCTGCAGGAGAAAATGCGCATAATGGGAGCCCACTTCCGTACAGTTTTTAAACGCTGTGTTTTCTAGCGCGTATGGGAACGTATGCAAATACACAGAAGGATCTGGAAGCCACATTTCAGGGGAGGCGAGTGGAAATTTAGGGAGAGGAGAGTGTCACTTACCTATAATTGCTTTTGTTTTGAGAGAGAGAGAGGGGGAGAGAGCGTGAGCAGGGGAAGGGGCAGCATTTCCAGCAGGTTCCACGCTGAGCACAGAGCCCTATGCGGGGCTTGACCTCACGACCCTGAGATCACGACCAGAGCCGAAGCTGGGAGCCGGGCGCTGCCCCAGCGGAGCCGCCCGGCCGCCCCTACGGTTGAGCTTTTTCTAAGATGGTATTCGAGCGACGCTTGCTTAGTAAGAGTGCCGTTCCCGGAACACTGAGAACACACACAAAACGAAAGCGCGTGACGCCGCACAGGGTGTGACATTTGGGGTCAGAGGGACCCAGTTGTGCTGTCTCCTGCACCACTTCCTGTCAGCGTGACTTGAGCAACTTACTGTCTTCTCGGTGTGGACCGGGGTCTCGTTCGGAAGAGATCCTGCCCCAGCAGATGCTAGGCCGTGTCTGCGGGCGTCTGTGGTGGGCGCGGGCATGGGGTGAAGCAGCGGCAGCCAGAGAGGGGACAGAATTGTCCTTTCCCCGAACTGTCAGAGCCGCTGACGAGGTCCCCGCGCGGGGTCTGGCCTACCGTGGCCTTTCTGGGGTGCTCTCCCTGGACGTCCTCATCTATAAACCTGCCGCGGCCCCATGAAAAAGTCCAGAGCGAAAGGAGCTGTGTTGCAAAGCAGGGTCCTAGTTTAGAAGGAATTTTTCAGTATGCTTTTACGTCGGGTGATAGAGGGGAGGGCTGACCCTAGAAGGCCTTCCCGCTGGTCCTGCGGCGGACCCAGGAAGGCCGGCCCGTGGGTTTCTCCCGGGGCCCGGCCTCTCTCTGTGCACACCCCCCCACCCCCACCGCCCCAGCAGAAGCTAGGCCAGAGTCCGTGCCAGTTGTAGAAGCTTCACAGCGCGCTGGGTGTTCTAGAGCTCCCACCCCCGGCCTTTCTAACTGAGCAAGGCTGGGGTAGAAGTGCTGGAGACAGCAGGCCCCAGCCCTCCCCGCCGTGTCCACCTGGCGTCCCGGGGGCCCAGTGAGGACCCTGGCCTGGGCTTGGTCTCCAGATTTGCTGTCAGGCAGCCTGTGGATTTAAGGCCAGGCCTGGGGTGGGGAGCTGAGCGGGAGGACCTGTGCAGGGAGCACAGCACCAGACCTATTGGCCAGAGGCAGGGGAGCAAATCCCTCTGCCTCTTCCTCCCCTGGTGCCTCCTGGCCTCCTTTCCCAGCCCTCCGACCCCGGTGCGGTGGGGCTGCCGCGGGCTGGCAGGACTGGAACCCAGGCCCCAGAAGCGGGCGGTGGAGCTCTGGCGCCTTCGTGGTTGCTCCGGTTGCCAGCCCGGCTCTCTGCCTCGCCCGCCGCTGCCGTGGCAACCTGGGAAGGCCTGCTGAGTCAGAGGCCTGGGCTCCCGGAAAGCCAGGCTGCTGAGGGAGCGTACTGCCACCCTTGTCCTTCCTTACTGGATGGGCTGTTCGGGAGCCCCAGAGCTGCTGGGGCCTGAAGGAGGCCCCACTCTGGGCCAGCGGGTGGCACTTGGCAGTGGTCTGGCCTCTGTTTCCTGTGGAGGAAGCCAGGCTTCAGCTTGCCGGGAACCGGGGAAATGCTTCGCCTTCCTACCTGCTGCTCCGGTGTCCCTCTCGGGACCATCCTCTGCCCTGCCCGGCCGCCCACTCAGCACGGCTGGCTTTTTTTTTTTCTGTGCTGACCCTAGGATGGTGGCTCCCTGGACCAGGTGTTGAAAGAAGCCAAGAGAATTCCCGAGGAGATCCTGGGGAAGGTCAGCATTGCGGTAAGTGGCTCCAGCCCCTCTGGCCAGGCAAGCGCTGGGGGCCGTGCGCATGCTCCTGGCCCAGTGCTCTGCCCGTTTCTATTCTCCCCACCCCCTTCCACGTGGCCAGAGTCAGAGCAGCCACCGGAAGCCCGGGACTGCAGCCCACACCCATCTCTGCCATCTGCAGGCCTGGCCAGTGGCATCTTGTGGCCTATAAAATGGGAGTGATGCTTCCCTTCCCCATTCAGGTGTCAGGGTGCCCAGGGCCTGAGTGGCAAGGGCCCCAGCTTCATAGGACCCCACAGTGCCACTGTCCCTTGGTGAAATGGCCGTCCGCCTGCAGGGCCTCCATGCAAACCCAGTTCAAAAGCACTCCCCAGACGATCCCCGTTGGGGCAGGGCGGCCCTCCTGCTGGGCCTTGGGCCTGGCCAGTCCCTGCTGAGCGCCTGCCCGGCCAGTGGGCCGTGCGTGCAGGTGGGTGAGCCGGGCATGTGCCCACTGACCTGGGACAGTATGACCGTCCCTGCTGCTCTTCTCACTTGCCCTCGCCCCTCAACAGGGGCTCCTCCCTGAGCTCGTGGGCCCTTAGGTCTAGCAGACTAGCGGCCCCTTAGGTCTGCCCACGGTGCTGCCCCGCTGACCCCAACCTGGGGCTCCCCCACAGGTTCTCCGGGGTTTGGCGTATCTCCGGGAAAAGCACCAGATCATGCACCGAGGTGAGCCGGGCAGGGGTGCCTGGGGGCTGGGCGGGGCTGGCAGGCAGGCCCGGCTCCCCCCTCACCTGCCCCGGCCCCGCCCGTAGATGTGAAACCTTCCAACATCCTCGTCAACTCCCGAGGGGAGATTAAGCTGTGCGATTTTGGGGTGAGCGGGCAGCTCATCGACTCCATGGCCAACTCCTTCGTGGGAACTCGGTCCTACATGTCTGTAAGTCCGTTGCGGCGTGAGGAGGTCTGGATCCTCCCCGGCCTGTCAGCTGTTCTGTTTTCCAGAAGCTTTTCCAAAGCCTGCAGTTCTCCGTAGTACACTTGCGTTTTCCGCTTGGTTTCTCTTTTCCGTCCAGATTCTCGCTGTGGCTGTCTGCTCACGCCGGGCTCTCTCTGAAGTGCCCGCCCGGTGCCTCCCGCTAACAGGAAGAGCCCCGTCCAGGAGAGCAGTCAGGCAGCCTCTGGGCCAAGAGTCTACCCCCCAGATAGCTTAGGAAACATCTGGGTGACCTCAGGAGCAGACTCTAAGAAGCTAGTCTTGGGATTGTCGTGGAAGAGGAGGCACCCCTCTGCCTTTCCTGGGGCGGCCACCCTTTTCCAAAAGGGCCGGAGGTCTGGCTGTTGAGCGCCGTTGTCAGCCCCAGCCGGGAGCGTCGTGGTCCCGCGGCAGGGGCAGGGAGGAGAGGGAGTCGCTCTTTCTCCGTGGCTGGGTCTCTGGAGGGCGGCCCAGGCCCGGATGGGGCTGCAGGAGGAGCGCCACGCACGCTCCCAGGTCCCAGCACCCATCGGGGCGTCTCTCTGCTCTCTCGCCGACAGCCGGAGCGGCTGCAGGGCACGCACTACTCCGTGCAGTCAGACATCTGGAGCATGGGGCTGTCCCTGGTGGAGCTGTCCATCGGAAGGTACCCCATCCCCCCGCCAGACGCCAAGGAGCTGGAGGCCATATTTGGCCGGCCCGTGGTGGACGGGGTAGAAGGAGAGCCTCACAGCATCTCGCCGCGGCCGAGACCCCCCGGACGCCCCATCAGCGGTACGGCCTGACTCTGGAACTTCGGGCTGGGACAGGCCGCGAGCCGCACATGGGGAGTGCCGTGCGCGGGGCGGCAGCTGCCTCTGCTCTGGCCCCGCTCAGCACCAGCTGTCCCCGGTCACGCTAACTGTGCTCAGCGTCCCTGGGTGGTCCCGAGGCTTCTGGGGACGGTTCCCCAGGCCGCTGCCATCTAAGGCAGCTGCGAGGGTTGTGGCCAGCCTGGGGGGGCGGGGGGGGCAGTTGTTCTGGAACGACCTCCTCAGCCGGGCTGCTGGTTGGTGGGTTTTCCAGCATTTCATCGCACGAGGATGGCCCTGAGAGCCACCTACGTGCCCGCCGTGCGGCGAACGTTCTGCTGTGTTGGGGCCGGGCCTTGCAGAACCTGGAAGCGATGGCTCAATTTCCTTGGGCGGCTTGTCCGATTCAGTCCTGACACACAGTGTGGGAATGGGACAAGAGGCCAGGGGGCTTTGGGGGACTCTGCGGGCCAGCACAATCCCCCAGGAGGTGGGGGGCTCCCCCGGGCACATTCTGGAGGTGGCGAGAGTGAGGGTTACGGTAGACGCAGCGTAATTACGAAGCAGTGCTTCGGACTCTGATTTCCATTTTTGAAGTCAAGTGACAGGAAGGGAGTTGAGCGAGGCCAAAGGAGCGCGCGGCTGAGCGCGGCTGGGCGTTTGCTGCCGGCTTTGTGGAGCCCTTAGGCCTCACGCTCCCCAGGCCTCACTTGTGGAAGGTGTACGGTTCGTGGAATTCTGTATCTTCACAAGGTTGTGCCAGCATAACCAGTGTGTAGTTTCAGAATGTTCCATCACCCCCAAAAGAAGCCCCTTACCCACTCGCATCTCCTCCCCCGGCCCCCACGACCCCCCTTCCTGTCTGTGGAGGGGCCTGGTCTAGGCGTGTCGCATGTATGGGCTCATACCCCATGGGGCCTTCTGTGTCTGGTTCCCTCCCTGCGTGTCGTGGGCTCAGGGTCTGTCCCTGGGATGGCACAGGTCAAAACCTTGCTCCTGTTCGCAGCTGTGTGTCCCAGTGTAGTGGACCGCGTTCTTTGCAGCTCACGGACAGGGGCCATCCGACAGCAGCTTTCACAGTATTTTTATGCCCAGCTTCTCCTTTTTTAGGGACAGACCCTCACCGCTGGGGTGTCTTGATTTTCTCCAAGGGGAGAACCCCCCCCACCCCCGCTCCCATCTGTGTCCCCGGGCCCTGGCCCTGTCCCTCCCAGCACCAACTCCCAGATGGCATCGCGGGTGTTCAGCTGTGGCCCTGTCCCAGCAGGGAGGAGTGGTGGGCCGTGCCAGGCCACCTTGGCCTGCCAGCACCTCCCCCAGCCCCGGCCCTCATGCCCGTTTCAGGACAGGGGACAGAAGGCGAAAGTCCAGCTGGGTCGAAGATGGGTCAGCTACCCCCAGCTGGCCGTCCAGTCTGGACAGCACTTGGGGCCTGACGCTGCCCTCACCCGCGGCTCCGCGCAAGGTCATGCTGCCAGCCTTGCTGCTGGTCAGCGCCACCCGCACAGCCTCGCCAGGCCGCACGGCAGGGCTTGTGATTTTGGCACAGCCTGGAAGCAGCACCATGCCAAATGTGTGACTCCTCAAAAAACGCTCCTGTTCATTTTGGCATTTTGCCTTGTTTTGTTTCGTTAATTCACCAGATGCTCAGAGAGAAGCTGCTTTCCCAGAAAGCGAGCCTAGCAGCAGGGAGCCCGCCAGGGTGCCTCCCCTGGTCTGGGCCAGTGTCAGGGGCAGGATGCTCGGCTGACGCCTGCCTCACCCCTGTTTTGTCTCGGCCCATGCAGGTCACGGGACAGACAGCCGGCCTGCCATGGCCATCTTCGAGCTGCTGGACTATATTGTGAATGAGGTGCGTACCTGAGGCCCCTCTGGCTTGTCTTCACGCGGGCGGGTGAAGCCTTTGGACTAGGAAGTCGTTACCCAGAGCCGCACGGAAACCGGACTGTGTTGGGGAGGAGTCGGGACGGTCAGGACCTCCCGATGGCTAGTCGTCGGGGGTAGGAGTGCGGCCTTCCTGCTGTGCCACACGAGTCCGCCACTTCCCAGGAGGAGCTCACGTGCCTGTGTGTGTGCGTGTGTGCGTGCACGTGTGGGGATGGGGGGCGTAAGACAACCCCATAGTCCTGCTGCGGAACACCCCCACCCCCGGCCCGAGCTGCCCCCCACCCCCGGGAGCTCTCCATGCATCTCAGAGTCCTTGCACGCACAGTCACAAATGACCCCCTTCCCCAGGGAAAGCTCGGGGCAGGAGGCGTGGCGGGCCCGACCTCCCCAGATCTTTCTCACCACCGCGTAAGCAGGTAGTGGGGTTGTTTCCGTTGTAGACATCGCAGGATGGGAGCAGCCTAGCCTCCTCGGGCCTGTGGCTGGAAAGGGACAGAGTAGGACCTGTCCCCAAAGCCCGCCCTCCCTGCCTGGCCGTGTTGCCCCTCCTAGGCCTCCTTTGGGCCAAAGTATGCTTCCAGGGGCCCTTTGGAGTCAGGGCAGAGAAAGGGGATGGCGTGTGGCACTGGCTTAGCATAGGGTGGTGGGTGAGTGGCCTGGAGCAGGGCTGGTCATGACAGAACAGGACGGGCAGGCTCTGGTGACACAGCTCGCCCTTCACCTGCAGCCACACCTAGGCCCAGCAAGCCCGTCCTCCCAGGGAGCCTGCCACCACCTCCCATCCCTGCCTGGAGGGGGCCCCTCGGGTTTCACTGGGCAGTCTGCCTGCTGCCTTCCCTGACAGGCCTGACCCTGCACCCGGCTATGCCCACCCCAGCACATACGCATGGGGCCAGGCTCCTTGGGCTTCTGGAATCGGCTGCCTCATACCCCACCCCTTCCCCCAGTGGTCCACACCCCCAGCTGGAGACGGGTGGGCCCTGTTCTCCTACCCCCTGGAACCAGCTGTGATCCCAAAACCAGAACTTTCCAAAGAGAACTCCAGATGAGCCCGAGACCAAATTGGCAGGACGGGCAACAGGTCCTGTGTGGAAGCTGCCAGAAGACGGGTCGGGGGGGGCTCCGCCTCTGGCAAGGGGAAGGGACTAAGGCCAGGAGAGATGCCTTTTGAGGGTCCCCCAAAAGTGCTGGGCTGTCCTCATGGATTCAGGCCCAGAAGCACCTCCCCAGGATTCTGGAACCTTCTTCAAGCATCTAATCCCCACCTCTCTGCTCTCTCCCACAGCCGCCTCCCAAGCTCCCCAGTGGCGTCTTCACCCAGGATTTCCAGGAGTTTGTAAATAAATGGTAAGGTGCCACCGCCCCCAGCACGGTCTCCGGGCGGGCCAGGGCAGGATGCCATGCCACCAGAGGCCCCGCCTGCCTCCCGGGACAGCTCCCACACCCCGGCCGCCGGCCCAGGTGCACACTTCCTTCCTGGTCCTGGGCCGGGTCCCCCTTCCTGGATCAATGGCAGGACTGCCCACGGGCAGTGGCATCGGGGGGCGCCTGGAGCTCACCTGAGAACCCAGATAGGTTCCCTTTCCAAGACTGCTGAGTCATGGTGTCCATCTGCTGTCCCCATCCTGTCCCCAAAGCCCAGAACAAACCAGGATTTCAGGCTCTTTGGAAATGACGCCATTCCCACCTTGCTTTCCGCCGGCAGGCATCCCGGTTTCCTAACTGCTCGAGCCCTGTAGCCCACTAGCTTCCAAACAAGCCTTCCAAGTCGGGTTCTGGCAAGTGGCCAGCTGTTCTCAGTGTGTCAGCACGGGCCTGGGGCGAGCAGGCTCTGGCGTAGGAAGGGGGCCTGGGGCCACCCCCTCACCTTGAGGGCAGTCCTCCAGGTCAGGGGGGTGGAGTCTGCCGGCCTCATTGCTGCCTGGGGACCGCGTCCCACACGGTAGCAAACCCACTCCCGGCGGTGAAGGGACCACTGGCCCTTTGCGCCACCACTGGCGAGCACACTGCCGCACGAACCAGGGGTGAGTGTAAATGTTTTTCTACACCTTGCATTTTTTTTTGGTTCTGAACAGCCACCGTTTGACTTCGGGCTGGTTTGAGCAACTGTCTTCAGGAGCAGTTCTGCTTTTTTGAAGGAAAAAGTTCCATTTTGGCATTCAGACTCCCAGATCAGGGGGATTTATTTGCTGTTGCTGCTAGGCCTCAGACTGAGCAGCGGCCAGGGGTCCCCACAGCCTTTCCTCTTCCTTCTCGTCCTGGTGTCAGACCCTTGCCCTTTCCTCCCCAGGGGTCCTGTCCTCACCCCTGCTCCTTGCCGCGACCGGCTTCAGCTGGGCCAGGCGCGGGGACGGGGCTGACCTGTCATGGCTCAGAATGTGGGGTCGCATGGCAGCTGGCTAACTGCCCTGCATCGTCTCCCCCGTTCTCTCTCTTTCTCTCCAGCCTAGTAAAGAACCCAGCAGAGCGAGCAGATCTGAAGATGCTCACGGTAAGTGACCCCAGGGTACTGGCTCGCCCCGCGGAGAGGAGAGACCCCAGGCAGCCCTCGAGAGGCTCTACCGTCCTGCACGGCGTGTCCCCCCAGAGAGCCCCTGTCTGTGGTCTCCTGGCTCCACTAGTGGGCGGGTCTAGAGCGACCCTGGCGCTCTTGGCTCCTGGAGGCGTGGTCAGGGGTGTTCCTGGGGCTGGTGGGGCCCCACAGGCTGGGGAGACCCAGGGTTGCCAGCCTCCCTGTCCGTCCCAGGGTTGTCACCTGATGTCCTTGAGAACCAGGGTGGGCGTCGAAACTCCCCTTCCCCTGGCAGGGCAGGGGACACGGGGCAGTGAGTCCACTAGCGCATTCAGTCCCCTCCACTGCCTGCTCTCATCCCCACGGCCCTGCCACGCCTGCGGCAGCCCGCCCTTCACCCACCTCCACAACGCGAGACCGTGTGAGTCCCGGGCGCTGGGTCCCCGTTGTGGCGTGGCAGAACGTGAGCCTTCTATTCAGTGTCAGGACGCAGCCTTTCCAGGAAGGGAGTCTCGGCCTTCCTGCCTCCTTCACAGAGTCTCCACCTCAGGGCCTTTGCACAGGACAGTCCTGCTCCCCGGGGGACACCTCCTGTGGCCCTCTTAGCTGGCTTGTCCCCATCCTGGGGTCTCTGCTTTGGCACCTCCTGTGAGGTGTCCCCAGGCACCTCGTCCAGTCTTGCCTCGTCTGTTAGTTTCGGTGGCAGCCAGTGTCTCCTGGTCATGGGCGCCACCGAGGGCACCACGTGGGAAGGGTCTGTGTGCCCCGGTTCCAGCAGAGAGTTCCAGTTATATGTGTTATAGGCACGTGTGACGTCACTAATATGTGTCAGGTGTAAGGTGTACAGATAAGCGATCTAGATGAGCTCCTAGTGTTGAGGTCCCCATGGGGCACCCTGGTCTCTCTGCCCCAACTTAAACACTTCCTGTGGGGCCTGCTGCCCCGGACCATGGGAGTCCTGTCACCCAGCTGGGCGTTTCGTGGAGGCCTGCACCCCTCCCATGCCCCCCAAGCCCCCAGGGCCGCCCCTGCCCTGCACGCCCTTGGGGACAGCCTTGCTCATGCCCCCCAGCCTTCAGGAGGGAGCTGCCAGTGTCCCGTCCTGTGCAGTTGCCACCGGCCTCATGTGGTTCTCACAGTTCTGGAAACGAAACAGAGCGCTGAGTTCTGTTCAGCCCCGGGAGCCCAGCGTCAGGGCCTTGGGAGGCTCTCATGGCCCGTGGCTGCTGCACCAAACAGAACGTGTTGGGGACTTACTGTCCTTGCAGACGCTTCTCTCCTTCCAGATTCGGTGTTCTCTCCCAGGGGCGACTGGGGGGGACAGCGGGTGGTGTCTGGGGACCTTGCGGGCTTCACGACGGGGGTGCTCTGGGCGTCAAGGGGCCGGGGACAGTGCCGTCCCCCTCAGAGCATGACCAGGGCTGACGAGCCCACAACCTCACCTGCCACCCCCGTGAGCTCCACTGGGCGGGCCGTGGCCTTCCTGACGCGCCTTTCCTCCCTCCAGAGCCACACCTTCATCAAGCGGTCCGAGGTGGAAGAAGTGGATTTTGCCGGCTGGTTGTGTAAAACGCTGCGGCTTAAGCAGCCCAGCACACCCACGCGCACGGCCGTGTGACGGGGTCCTGCGGGTGACCTGCTCGCCGTCCCACCCGCGCCCCGCCCCGCCCCTCCCGCCCAGGCCAGGCCAGGCCAGTGCCTCCCCTCCCCGGCCCGCCTCTCCCTCCACCGTCTGCGGAGCCACCCGCACGTGCCACAGGGACACTGAGCCTTGCTCCCGCCTGTCCCAGCTGGTGTGGCCTCTGGTCCCCGGGGAAGGGTGACGGGTGACGCTGCTCGCGGGGTCTTTTCAGACCTGCTTCTTAGGGTTAAAGCAAAACAGGGAAAGAAAATGCAAACCGTGCCCAGTGTACTCCTTGTTCAGTTTGTTGCGGGGGGACGGGGGGTGGTGAGCCTCTGGCTTAGCCCCAGGCCGAGAGAGCTCCCCATGAGCCCCCTGCCCACCTGGGGGCAGCATCATGGGGTAGGGGAGGCTCCGGGAACTGGCTTCTCTCTGTTTCCAAGGGATGCAGCGTCAGGGGGACTCTCTAGACCTTGGTGTCTTTCACCAGAGAAAGGGACGTGCCTCAGCCCTGCTCTCCTGTGTCGCCCCCCTCGCCGGCGCCCGCCCCTGGAGGTGGGCCCTAGCGCCCATTGCTGGTCATGGGGTCCACTCCTTGACCCCGTCTTGTCACGCCACTGACCCGCCTGTGACATGCCCCCAGGAGGGACCTGCTCACCGCCTCCTGTGCTGCCCGGGCCACCCTCCCGGCTCTCAGTGGCGGGTGCTGAGCTGACACTTGGCAGAAAGGAAGCAGCGGGCTTCCAGGCTGTGCGCGTGGTGGAGAAGCCCCGCAGACCCGCCGGTGAGCCTGCGCCGTCCCCGCACCTGCAGGCCGTGGCTCTTCGCGTCCCCTCCGCTCGCCCAGGATGCGTCCCTCAGGCCCTCCAGCCGTCCAGCCACAGCTGCCAGGCAGGGAAACGGTGAGGGTGAGGTGGTCCCGGTTCCTGTGTCCATCGGGTCATGCGCATGGCCCAGGACCCAGGGCTGGGCCACTGCGGCTGGAAAGCAGGGCCACCTCTGGAGACGGGGGAGCCACTCCCTGGACACCGTGACAGGTCACGGGGCCCATCTGCTCTGCGGGGCATGGCCGGCGGCCAGCCCTGTGTTTCTGGAGGCGGCCCTTCTAGTCTCCTGCCTTGTTTTCTGTGGACGCCAAAGAAGAGACAAGTTGCTGGCTCCTTGCGCCAGCTTCCCAGGTTTCCACCACTGCTAGTCCCCAAAGTCTCACCTGGTTGAGAGGAGAATAAAGAAGATCCTGAAGTCTGCCACTGTCCCTCTGTGGGGCCGGGAAGGTGGGTCAGCATCTGGGCGGTGGGGTCCAGCGCGGGCCACCAGGATGGGCCACATGTTGGGGCCTGTCCCACCCACGCCTAGCCACAGCCGCTGAGCCTCCAGTAACGGGCTGCCATTTTCAAGGAGTAAGAGACCATGGTGGCTGGGTCCTGAGGGCTCGGGGAGGATTGGGAATAGATGGGGAGGCCGATTCCAAAGCAGGATGTCTCCAGGCTCAGGACCCCAGAAAGGTCTGGGTGCCGCCCCAAGGCTTCCGCTCCGCGCTGCTGCAGGGCCGGACTGCAGAGAGTGGGTCTTTCTCTTCCATGTCTGCCCCAGACCAGGCTCCTGGGAAGCCAGGGGCTCGCGAGAGCCTCGGGGACCAAGGCCAGTGCCTCCCGGGGTCTCCTCCCCACTGCCATCTCCTGCACACGCCGGGCTCTCCGCCGGCCAGACCTGATGGCGGGGGCTCCTCGGCGAGGGGACAAGGCTCCTCGGGAGTCCTGTAGGAGCTGGTGGTTTTGGTGTCTCCTGACCTGGGGGTCAGGGCACAAGGTGGCCCTTGGGAGAGAGGGAGCGTTTTGTGTGGCCACGTTGAGGTTTCTCGGCTCTTCTTGAAGAATCATGACACCATCAAGTACGGGAGCCCCAAGGGAGCCCCCCTGCCTCCACGTTCGGGGACCCTTGCAGACACACCTGTGACCCGGGGCACCCCCTCTTTCTGCCCTCTGTCCAAGCAACCAACCAGTGAAGGCGTCTGAGCTCCGCAGTCCTGTGCAGCGGATGGGTTCTCCGTCTGCGCCAGCCTTTCTCATCCTGCTCCCTGCGTCCCCGGCGGGCAGGATCCGGATGGCCCGCTGGGGCCCCTGCCCCTCCCAGGAAAGCCCACCTGCACTGTGTGGGCCCGCGCTCCCTTTCCGCAGGGCACAGGCCTGCGGACCTGGGCAAGGTCATGGCACACCGTGCCATCCCCAGCCTGACCTCCCGGCAGCCACGTCTAGGCCGGGGAACGACCGGGGAATGTAACCTGATGGTATGTTTTATTCGCCCCAGTAGCAGCAAATTACCACCCTTTTATTTTGTAACGGACACGAGAGATGAGCAGTGTGGTCTTGTAGGTTCTTTTGTGTTTCTTCCACGGAGCCTTTGGAATCGGGCGTGTGTTTTGCCCTCACAGCACCTCTCAGGCCGGCGTGGTCACATCACGGGGCCCAGGGGCCACGCGTGGCCAGGACTGCACAGTACAGGCCCAGCTCTGCTCCACTCTGTGTCCGCTTGGGCTGTCTGCCCGCTGGGTCTTATGTGGGGACGCAGGGCCATGTCTGGGACATCTGTGGTGGTCACACTGGGGGCTCCTGGCCTGTGGTGGACGGGGGCCAGGGGTGCTACTCAGCCCCCACTGCACCCTGTGTGGCCCTGCAGAGAAGGATTCCCCGTGGCCGCAGTGGGGTGGGGGGAACTCTGTACACACTAGACACCAGAGTAAATCCCCAGGGGTCAGGGGTACAGCCCAGGTGACCCTGGTGTCTGTGAGTCACCCCCTCTCCCCCACTCAGTGTGTGAGTTTAAGCTCCACGTGGGGCTCGAGCTCGGGAGGTCAAGAGCCCTGTGCTCCAGACGCCCCCAGTGTTCGCCTTTAAATGGGTGCAGTTCCCAGGAGCTCTGCAGTCAGATGACCGTGGAAGGCAGTGACCTGGGGGGTTGGTGGAACCCCCAATCCAGGGTCTCACCTGGGGCTGACTTGCCCCGCAGGGGACACGGTCCTGTCTGGGGACCTCTGTGGTGGTCGCACTGGGGAGCTCCTGGTGTTGAGGGGGTGGGGCCAGGGGTGCTTCCCCGCCCCCACAGCGCCCCAAGGACAGTCCAGCCCTAAACCCCACCCCGGTTCAATGCCCCAAGAGGCAGAGGCCTCTGTGCCCCAGCCAGTGGACTTATGGTGGCTGGAGCCTGGGGCCCGGTGCGTCAGGAGGGATGTGGGCAGAGGGGCTCCGGAACCTTCTGGAAGGTGGGGAGTCCAGAGCAGGGTGCTCAGCCAGCCCTCGGGGCGGAGGTATGTGCTGGGCAGGAAGCCTCAGGTCAGAGGCGGAAGTCGGCCTCTCTCTGTGGGCCACCGACTCCGGGTTAACAGAGGTCAGAGGAAACTGCCACAGGGTTTCCCAGAACGCAGGGTCCAAGCAGGAGTGGGGTGGGGAGGGGGTCCCCCTCAAAACGAAAGCAGCGAGGGCCCTCCAGGCGCCGCCCCTCTCGGGGCCCGAAGCTGCCCAGGTGTGTGAGCCCGGGGGCTGCCCAGCCAGGTGCATAGAGGAGGACCGGCCTGGTCGGCCGTCCCCATGGCAACCGAGGAGGAGGAAGGAGGGCCGGAGGGAGAGGCCTGGGCCCCACCGCGGCATGAACCGAGGCCCGGCTGTCTCAGGTTTCTGCTCGGGCTTCCCAGGGGACAGCGGGAGGCCAGGCCGAAGAGCAGCCCTTGGAGAACCAGGGGCCTCAGGTGAGGGAGGGACTCGGGCCCACAGCCCTGCCCCTTCCCCTTGGACACCCACATCACTGTCCCCCTGGGTCTGTGGCCCCATTCCCTCCCCGCCCCCCGCCAGCAGGAGGGGGTCCTCCCTGGAGCCCAGAGATGGCGCCAGCCACTCCCCCCGGAAAGAGCAGACCCTCTAGGGCAGCCCGAATCCCTTCTCCCTACACCCTAGCCACAGCCCGGAATGTGGGCAGCACAGTTCTCTGACCCCAGAGGGTCCTGCCTCCCCCAGGACAAACGCCGGTCATCCTGCCCTCGCCAGAGCCATGCTTCCTCTTGACTCTGTCACCCGCTGTCTTTTCCGTCCCCTGGTGCCCCATGGCGGGGCCCGCAGCCTGGCCTGAGGCTGAACACAGATCACGGAGCCCTTGAGGCTAAAGGCAAAGCGACAGGAACCGTGAAGGGGGTCCCGAGGGCTGGGCAGAGCGCACCCCAGCAGCGGAACTCGCATAGGCCTGGGCTCCGAGGGCCGCCGAGGGTGCCGGGCAGAGGGCGTCCCCAGCAGGGGAGCCTGCATGGGCCCTGGAGGAGATCTGCCGGGCTGGGGAGGCGGGATGAGGCTCAAAATATTTACAGGCGTCCCGCAGAGCAGTCAGCGCTCCCCTGGACGTGGGAAGGGACCTGGGCTCAGAAGGGGGCCGCCCCCCCTCCACTGTGCCCTGTGTCAACCGACCCTTTCGGGTGTCACAGTGGGAAACAGGACAGGACATTGGCCAGCAGGGGAAACAGAAGCCTATTAATGCTGCAACCCCCCACCGGCCTTAGGTGCAGGATTGGGTGGTGGCCGCGCTGGGAGCCAGGTCAGTTGGGCGTCTGGCTAAGAAACTAGTCGTTTGTGCCAGGGACAGCTGCCGACCGCGAGCCAGGCAGTAACCTCAGGCAAACAGGTTTAGGAAGCTGAGTTCATACGGAGCAGGACGCGCAGATTACCCCGCACGGGGGTCCAGGCCATACCGTGGCTGTCCTCTTTGGGGGCCACACCAGTGATGCAGGAGCGCATGTCCAGGTTCAAGAGGGAGCCCCGGGGAAGCAGACCTCAGATTGCAAAGAACGTCACAGAGCTGGGTCCTAAAGGGCAGGGCGAGGCCTTGGCCTGGAGATCCCATGGTGACCCCTGCATGGCCTGTTCTGGGGTTCAGCCCTTAGAGCCACAGAGACCCTAGCTGGGGGGTCTGCCTCTTGTGGAGGTAAAGGCTAGCCCCTGAGAAGCTGTCCTGGGCCCCCTCTTCCCCCAAAGGACCAAGCGCACCTGACTTGGCTGTCCTCTCCCTGCGCACGTCCCATTCTGCTTCCTCTGAGCCTTTGCACACTCTGTTCCCTCTGCGCCTGCCGACCTCCTGCTCGCTGATAGGTGGGCATCTGCTCAGGATTCGCCTTCTCAGGGAGGCCACCTCCGCTTCCCTCACCCCTGACCGTCCTGTGTGGCTGCAGTCACCCCCTCCGCTCACGTACAAGCTCACGCGGGGCCACTGGCCATCCCCCTGCCCTGACCCCCATCTCCTTCCAGGGACAGGCTTGGATTTTTTTCACAGGGACCCATGTTTCTAAACACAGTCAAATCACCCCCGTGCCCATTGGCCCCAGGACCCAGGGTGCAGACCTAGGGCCTACCCAGGGGTCATGGGGTTGGGGGAGGAGAGGGGAGAAAGGGGAGGGGTACAGGGGAAATGCAAATCTCTCACGCTTGCTACCTCCCTGTCTGTGCACCTGCTGCTCCCTGTTCTGGAAGCTTCTCTCTGTCATTGCCCCTCTCCACCCCCAACTTCTCTTCAAACTTCAGGCTCAGGACAGACATCCCCCCCACTCAGGGCAGCCTGCCCCCCCCCCCCCCCCCCCCCCCCCACAAGGGCCACCAGACCTTCCAGGGACCTTCAGCATCACAGATTGTTGGATTCTCCCCGCCCCATCTCCATGCTCTTGAACTTGGCAGTGGGCTCTGCAGCAGGACAGGAGAAAAACACAGGTGCGCTCGGACTGATCAAAGTCAAAAACCCGGGTGCGTGAAAGGACCCCATCAAGAGACAAGCCACAGGGGGAGACCGGTCTGGCGTCCAGGGTGCATAAAGAACCCTTACAGCTCAGCGACCCAAAGACAGTCGCCCCAGTTACAAAGCAAGCAAGGGTTTGGACAGGGACACTGGACCTCGTTCCCCATGGGTGACACCCAGATCTGGGCTGGATTTCTGGCCGGTCCACAGAGGGGCAGGGTCCCAGCCCCAGGACCTGGGAGGTGCGTTGGCAAGGCCCAGGCCCAGGGTCCTGGAGTGAGGGTCAGGAGGGATGCTTGAATGAAGCCCTAGGTGTGCTGTCTCCTGTCTTCACCCCACACTGAAGAGTAGGAAGTGACTCCCTGTGTGACTCCGACTCCCCCATCCTCCTTCCCCTCCCTGCCTCTCCCCTCCCTTCCCTGCCCACAGCAGCCCAGGGGTCCTCCCCTTTAAAGGGAAGGGACCACTTTGCAGACCTGTGTTC